AAGAAAGTTAAAAAAGCAAACTCAAAGGCTGGAGTAATGTAACAGGCAGCATGCAGCTTTCCTGCACGCGCACTCACGACGATGTGAGTGTAATGTAATGTAATGCATATATATAGGGTGGGTATAAATTCTGTCAGAAGTCCCTTAGGACAATGATGATGACATCTAATGAATCTTCTTTCTGTTAACATTTGAACACTTTTTGGGGGGCTAAACATATCCGAAAACTTGTTAATCTTTGCACAAAATTCAGTCGTGGCGAAGGTTACCATATTGTCTTGGTCCCGCAGATGGGCGTGGCATAATGGATTAGCCACGCCCCCCCAGAATCAGCCCCCAAGACACGTAAGACCGACATGTACCTAAATTGGTACGCATGTGTATCATGATGGGACAAGCAAAAAAGCCTCTTGGACCCATAACTCAAACCCAACAGGAAGTCAGCCATTTTGAATGGTCATTTTCAGCGATTTTTTCGCGTTGTATTTGAACAAACTCCTCCTAGGGAATTTATTGGATCTACTTCAAAATTGGTCAGTACAGTTAAAAAATGTTGCTGATTAAAAGTTGTACTATTTTTGCATGTACGTTGAAGGACGTGTTCGTGCCGTTCACCATATAACAGATGGTACTCAACTTCAGTGTACAATGTCCATCTCCACTAAACTTCACATATTCTGTAACAATACCACCCTGAAGAAGTCCTCATAACTTCAGCGTACATGGTCCAATCTCAATGAAACTTCACGTGTTTGATAAGAGTCCCGCCCTGAACACGTCTACGTGACAATATTCAGATATAGTGATAGCGCCACCTACTGTCAACAGGAAGTAAGCTCTGCGTTGCGATTTTGATCTGATTTACGTGAAATTTTCATGTTGTGGTCTGCACGTGTTACGCCGGCACGTGACATGGCTGCAGCACACCCCGAGTTGCGTGGAGTGCGAGGGCCCGTTCATCGCTGTTTGCAGCTTTAATTTTATTTATATTTTTTCAACCTTTAATTAAGGTCCTGTTGTGTCATTTTAATGAAGCTGTCTCCCTGTGTTGACAGAACCAGTGATGTTGCCTCCTATTCTGCCTGGCCAGGCCTTGGCAGTCCCCCTTCACCTGACATCGTGGCGGCTGCAGGCTCGGCCCACAGGCCTAGGCTTGTTCTTCTGTAAGGTTCCCATCCACTGGACCAGCGTGGAGCGACCCGGAGAGATCAGCAGCAGTAAGAGGGAGTGTCAGTCAGCAGACTTTGACGACAACCTCAAGCGTAACTTCAGGTAGATATAGTCGGTCAGAAATCCTGTTTTTGGTTCTAGTCTTCCTCACATCTGGTACCGTTCTCCTCATTTGTATGCATCTTACAGGTTTTGTGTGGTCATCAAGAAGGAGAACTACCCGGAGCAGCAGCCTGCCAAGAGGGTTTCTGGCAGTGCCAAGCAGATCTACCGCCAGCCAGGCCACACCATCTATCTGCTGCCCACCATGGTACTGGCCAACCTGCTGCCCTGCGATCTCAACTACTACATCAAAGGAACGTCCATTAAAGGCTCGCTGAGACCAGGGAAAGAGGCCGTGCTCCACCCTGCGGACACCTCGCAGAACATGGAGCTAGGTCAGGACTGTCACTGGCTGCTGTTCATTTCCTAAACATTTTCCTTCCTCTCACTCCTGGTGTAATGATGTGTGTCTTTCAGGAGTCCTACTTGAGAACTTCCCTGTGTGCAAAGAGCTGCTAATTCCCCCAGGAACTCAGAACTATGTGGTACGCATGAGGCTGTATGACACCAACAAACATCTGCTTTGCCTCACTATTCGCATCATCCTGCGAGCACAAGGGGCACTGAAGATCCTGATTTCGGCCCCCTACTGGCTTATCAACAAGACCGGTAATGTTTTCTTTGTTGTTAAAAACTGAAGTTGTGCAGATTCTACAATTACAAAAACAATCCAATCAGAACAAGCTTTTTAATTATTATTCCCTAAAGCCATATTCCTCCCTCAGGTCTGCCATTAATTTTCCGTCAGGACAATGGCAAAGCTGATGCAGCAGGACAGTTTGAGGAGCATGAGTTGGCCCGAAGCCTAAGTCCATTACTGTTCTGCTACACTGACAAGGAGCAGCCTGCTATGTAAGTGTGTCAAAAAGCTGGGACCTCATTTATAAAACTCCATCTATAACACTGCATACTCACAAACCTCAGAATCTACTTATGCAAGAAAATATTTATAAAACCAGGCAGTGCACACCTCTAGGTAGTTCTCAGTATTACATTCCATTTTATCCATCTCAATCCCAGGTGCACGATGCGAATTGGAAAAGGGATCCACCCAGACGGAGTTCCAGGCTGGTGCCAGGGCTTCTCCCTGGATGGAGGGAGTGGAGTCAGGGCAGTGAAGGTCATTCAGCACGGGAACAGGCCTGGCCTCATCTACAACATAGGCAAGTTGGTACAGTCACAATCAGAATTAATGGAGAGCACTAACTGAACTAGTGTCTGGATTTAATGATGCACAGGATCGACCCTGTGCATCACATCATTAAATCAAGACACAGAAGTGTGGTCCGATCCAACAGACGAGCTGCTCAAATTGCTGAAAAAGTTAATGCTGGTTCTGATAGAAATGTGTCAGAACACAAAGTGCATCACAGTTTGTTGGTATAGTGCTGCATAACATTGTGACCACCAGGATGCCCAGGTGGTCACAATGTTCAATTCAATTGATGGAGTGAGAGAGAGAGAGAGAGATGCACAGCAACAACAGTAGTAACAACTATACTATTAGTAGTGACTGATGATGATGAACATGAAGAAGATGATGACGGTGGCGACGACGACGACGACGTCGACGACGGCGACAACAACGATGGGGGACAATGAGCATGACCACAGAAATAATAGTATCTGTAGTAATAATAATAGTAATAATAATAATAACAATAATATCAGTGATATTAGCAATGGGAGTCAAGCAGGACCATGGCAGGAGAGAAAGCACAAGAACTCCGGGGAAGAAGTGAAGTTAGTAACATGTATTAATGGGACATGAATGTGTGCAGAAAGAGAGAGAGAGGAAGAGAGGAGCTCAGTGCTTCATAGGAAATCCCCCGATAGTCTAGGCCTAGAGCAGCATAACTAAGGGATGGTTCAGGACTCACCTGAGCCAGCCCTAACTATAAGCTTTATCAAAGAGGAACGTCTTAAGCCTACTCTTAAACACGACGGAGTATTAGGCCAGACTAAAAGAAAAAAATATTTATTTTTTGGGGGAAAATTAGGTCTACGAGAATAAAGTCATAATATTTACGAGAATAAAGTCGTAACATTACGAGAATAAAGTCGTAACATTACGAGAAAAAAGTCGTAATATTACAAGAATAAAGTCATAATATTAGGTCTACGAGAATAAACTCGTAACATTACGAGATAAAAGTCATGATATTGCGAGAATAAGTCACAATATTACGAGAATAAAGTCATAATATTACGAGAAGAGTCACGTGACCGGCTGGACAAGATGGCGGCTTAGGCATTTTGCGTTTCCCCTAACCTCCCCGTTTTTTAATTAGTTTATCCCTTCAAGTCTTTTTTTGTGCTGATATTTGTGGCGCTTTTAACTGCTTGGGACAAAAATGACTGAATCTGGGAAAAAGAACAGTGCAGGTGGAGCCTCCGCGAAGTTGAACAAAGCAACTCGTGCTACTGAGCTGGATGCTATTGCAGACATGCTAATGGAGAGACAACGTGAATATCTAGAGCCTCGGTTCGCTCAACTTCACGAGCTGGGTAAAGGCACAGAGGATAAATTGAACGCGATTCAGTCTGATCTGGCCTCACTCTCGGCGAGTATTGGTGTGGTGAAAGCAGATATTTCGACTCTGAGGAGCACTGTCAAGGAAAACTCGATGGCAGTCACTAACCACGAGACAGCGCTGCATACACTTGAACTCAAACTAGCGGACATGGAGGACAGAAACAGGCGCTGCAACGTCCGTATCATCGGCCTGAAAGAGGGGGTCGAGGTGTCGAACAGTGTGCAGTATCTGGCACTGCCAGAGTGGTTCCCATCTCTCCAGACTGGGCAGCTGGAGATAATGCGGGTCTACAATGGACGCCCTGCCCGAGACAGGCCCCGCACTCTCATCTTCAATGTCCTCCGCTACACGGTGTGGCAGGCGATTCTCCGAGCTGCGAAGAAGTACCCGGTCACCGTGGATGGCAAGAGGGTGAGATTCGCCGCTGATTATAGTAACCACACAGTCAAGCGCTGACAGGCTTTCACCCAGGCGATGGACACCGCGCGAGAAAGAGGATTTGAATTTTTTCTCATTTACCTGGTGACCCTGAAAGTCAAAGATGGGTCGAATTATCGTGTTTTCAACCAACCCCGGAGAAGCAGAGGATTTCCTCAACTCCCGACCGGTGACGACATGGGAGAGGTCCCCTTGCGCTCCGGCTAGCGAGGCAGTCAGCCGGCACACACGGGCTAACACCACACAGGCGGCTGTAGACGACCCGTAACAGCCGCTGATCATCGCCCTGATGCAAACTGCAGCTAATGGATGGATATAAGACTCGTCAACTCATAATCTTCCTGGTGTGAGTTAGTCCGTGGACTAATTAAGATATCATTTTCTCCTTCATTCTTGGAGTCGCCACGGGCTATCTTCACACCTGGCATTCAGCCGCTTTCCCTTTGACACGATGTATGCCACAACGGATTACGCTGGTTGATCTTTTTTTTTTTCTCTCCCACACTCAGTTATTGTTTCTGACTTTAATCGCCTGTTCGAGTTGTGGGCGTTATAATGGATGCTGAAACAAGGTAACATGCACATAGAACTTCACTGTCTTTTTTGACCTTATATTAAAGTGACTGTTTAGTCTCAGGTCTGGGTATCTTCCTAGATGCAGGTTTAATCGCTTGTTATAATACAATCGCACCTGGGGATTTTGTGTTGTTTTCATTGACAGCCTGAGTTGCTCTATTTATTTTGTTTTGTTTTGCTGATCACAATTCTAGATAATTCCCAGTCACTACAAGTTGTTGTTATGAGTCATAAGGTGGTGTCTTCTGTCACGAAATAATTGTGCAATGTTAACTGCTTCGATCTACTTAAGAGTTGTACCGTTTTACTGCAATAATCTCCTGGTAGACTTGATTTATTAATAGTTTTATGTTATAATACAGGATTAGCTGAGGAGCATCTCTGTTTTTCCCTCACACTATGGGGCAGTTTTCAGTTATACTTCTGGTGCAGCCAATGCATATAATGATAATGACAGCTACCTTAGTCTCACACTTGAAATCGCAGTTGCACCATACTTTGTTTCGTATATCTCTTTTATTCTTATACGCAGTCCCTTAAGGCATGGTTTATGCATCTAGTTGTAAGTATTAAAGGGATGACTTCTTTGGAATGTTTTGCTTTGTAATTTAATCTCGGGAGGGGTGGGGTTAGCGACTACTGTCCTATTGCCGCCCAATTTCCGACTATGGTCACGGAGCTAAGTAAAAGGGGAGGGTTAATAGTTAGGGCATGTTTTTGCTCTCTTGGGGGCCTGGGCTGGAGGGGGGTAGGTTTAAAACATTTGTTTTTTGTTTGTTTGTTTTGTTCTTCTTTCTATTTGTTTTAATGTGGAGTGGCTCACATTGTGGATTATGTGTTCACTTTCTTTCTGTATGGAGGGAGAGGGGCTTGACTGGATTAAGTTGTATACATGTCTGTCTGGGTCAATTTTGCTGGAGCTGAGTGATTATTCGTTGATTGTGGGGGGAGATTTCAACGCGGTTTGGAGGGCAGCTAATGACAGGACAGGCAAATCTGAGACAAGGGATCAGAAACTGGCATCTGCAGCTTTACAGGCTTGGGCTAACAGCCTGGGGCTCACAGATTTGTGGCGTTTGACTACTCCTTTTTCTCTGCTCGACACAAATCTTGTTCAAGAATCGACTACATATTTGCATCCCCTAAACTCTTCCAAAATATTCAAAATGTATCTCTGCTTCCCATAGCCCTCTCTGATCATAAAGGTGTGCTTTGCTCAGCGATGCTCAACAGCGCTTCCCCTCTCGCACCAAAATGGCGCCTCAACACAACCCTGTTGAAACAGGAGGAATTTAGGACACAATTTACAGAAAAGCTTAGGGAATTCTTGGAGTTCAATGTTGACTCGGTCGATGATCCTAGAATACTTTCACTCAATTAAAGGTTTTATCAGGAGTAATGCCACACCGTTTGCCCCTAACCAGCACAAGGCCCAGATTTCTAAGTTACATGAATTGGAATGCAAACTAGCAAAACTAGAATCTGCGTTATCTGCCAATTTCTCGGAACAGATATTAACATCATCCTCAGACGCCAACCAGGCAACGGTATTATTGTCATGGGTCAAGGCCCAGCCACCTGTTGGCGTTGAAGATTAGGTCAAATGAGCAGTTCTCAGATATCTCCTCAGTCAAATTACAGTCAGGAGCTGTCACCTCTGACCCGACGCAGATCAACAAGACTTTTCATGGTTTTTACTCTGACCTGTACAAATCAAACATACCTCTCGACAAAGACAAATGTGACAATTTTTTGGCTCGATTGAAGTTACCTAGCCTTGCAGTGGAGGAGGCAAATGATTTAGCAAAACCGATTTCTCTTGAAGAACTTAAAAAGGCTGTGCTCAGTATGCAAAGGGGCAAATCACCCGGGCTCGATGGCATACCACCAGAATTTTACGCAGCCTTTTGGGACCTCCTTGGCCCGTTACTACTCAGTATGATCCACTTTTCAATAGAGAAAGGTGCTTTCTCTAGGGATGTCAATATAGCTTTAATAACCGTACTACTGAAGAAAGATAAAGACCCAACAGAATGTGGTAATTATAGGCCCCTTAGCCTGTTGAACGCCGATGTTAAAATATATGCCAAGGCACTCTCCCGCCGCCTGCAACCTCATGTATCATCACTAGTTCACTGTGACCAGACCGGCTTCATGAAATCGCGTCTGGCCTCTGACAATGTCCACCGACTGCTGCATGTAATTGACGCAGCAACAGACATTAAAACCCCGGCAGCCGTTTTATCCCTGGACGCAATGAAGGCGTTGAACAGCCTTGAGTGGCCCTTTTTGTGGTCAGTTTTGGGGGAGATGGGTTTTGGAGAAGGCTTTATAAAAATGATACAGTTGTTATATTCAGACCCCTTTGCAATGGTTCTTACAGGTAACATTTGTTCCGCTCTGTTCCCAGTATCTAGATCATCTCGTCAGGACTGCCTCTTGAGCCCGACGCTGTTTGCTCTGTCGCTTGAACCCTTGGCACAGATGATCCGGTTATCATCTGTTATTAAACCCATAACTGTCCATAACACACACCACCACCTGGCACTTTACACTGACGACATTTTAGTCTTTCTCGGAGACCCGTTGCAGTCGGCCCCACACCTTTTATCA